ATTAATAAGAATAAATGTTTTTCCCCTGTCATTATTAAATATTTTCCCAGTACTGATCTTAAACAATAAAAATACACCGTTCCACAATTCACAAGGAAACAGATTATGTATAATTGTTTCAATCATCATAATAACGTAGGGATCAGAATACACAAAAGAGTGTTGTTCATGTGTTTTAATTTACTGTTAGCGATAAATCCATTGTGAAGTGCTAAATAATAAACAAAATAATTTGAAAAATCTGCCCCCAGTGGCACAGTGTTATGTCTGCGGACTTACAACGCTAGAAACCGGGTTTCGATATTCGTGATGGGTAGTACACAGATTGATAGCCTGTTGTGTGGTAAACAATAAATGTCACTCAAACTCGTATTTTTGATATATTTCGACTGTCAGAGGGCGCTAAGAAGACGATTTACTCCGGTAGTCATGGAAACTGATAGTCTAACAAATATATGCTAAGCCTGTTTTACGGAACCATTAAACTGATTGTATTTAGGTATAATAAATTAAAGCATAATTAGTCAAGTCGTAGTATTATCGCACGAATTTTGTAATTCTCATAATTTAACATTTTTAAATTGGGTTTGGCATGTCATTATTATTATTATTACTTAGTCTTGGCGATGGTAATACATTTATGATTTATTTAACTTAAATAAATTTTAAGTTAGGCTATCATTCATCTGAAATTTTTGTTTGGAAAAAGAGCTGAACGGTCTAGAGTTGGATAAACTACGTTATAAAACTTGGGTTTAGACTCACGTTCGAACTTAAAACTAAGATAGATTAAGAATCTTGTGTTATCTGTATGGGAAACTAACGTTTACTATGGCAGGAAACAAACCAGGAAAGCTAGAATTCAGGTAATATCAAGATTTCATTATCCCCCCCCCCCAAAAAAAAATGAAGTTTCAAAGTTTAAAATTATACCTAATCCATAGACCTAAAAATTTAAATAAAAAACAAAGTGTATATTAGCAAGTTTACGATAATATCGTGATTAATCTGTAGAAACTATTTAGTAAAATTGATAATGTTTTACACAATGTCCAAATTATAATGCCTTTTGAGTGTGATTTTTAACTTCACCCAATAGATAGCCTATAATCATTTGATGTTAAAGTTTAAATTTGTACAAATACAATAAATAATGCATTTTTTGTGTCATAAGATCATAGATACAGATCTTTCAACACATAGGCAGTGAAGGTGAGTCTGTTATCACTCCCACACATATTAATAAAACAAATCTCATGTTTTGGTCAATTTAGGATATTTCTATAATAAATCATGATTGGTTGATCAGCTGGATCCAGGTCAAATTTAGTATCACATTAATCCAGGAAATGTTTTCTTGAATTAAAATTGTATGGGGGGGGGGAGGATGCTCCCTCGAAGGTGACCCCATTTGGTGTTTATGGCACATAACCATGCACAAAAAGTTTACTTTTTTTCAGAAGTCTCGCTCGAACAGACTCCCAAAAAGCTGATGGCCCTGCAAACAATTATAATTTTTTCTGATGACATCATAAAGTACTTGTTACATCAATTAATATATTTTAAAAGTTCAGCCTTTTTAATCGAGTTTAAA